TGCTGATCTGGTTGTGCATGAGCATAGATAACGCAGGCCCACATTGCCAGCATTGTGGCAGAATTAGAAGACAGACAGTGATGTGTGTCTCTGCACCACCACTTCTTGCAAAGGACTTGGTGATGATGCAAGTACTTTCTCACTTGACTCCAATACAATTTAAATTGAGTCAAGCACTTCCATACCTTGTTCTCTCCCTGCCTGAAAGCAGTGGGATGCCAGGCTCCCTGAAAGATGAGCAGAGGGTGCGAGTGAACGCTGCTTTCTAGTCATGCTGTGTTACTGTAAGCCTGGAAAAACAAAGGCATACAGATGTGCTCTGGCCTTCACATAGGATTAACACCAAAGAAAAATACACATGAATGAATAACACCAGGGTAGAACTGTTCGTCTGCCCATCAGTCTCTCTTGGCTTTTTCACTTGCCTGTATCAGCAGTCGTAAGGAGATTATTTTTTTCCCTTTAAATTCTTTGTTTAGTTGCATAACAGACAGGTAGCGCTCCCTGTTTTCCTGCTCATTCTTAGTCACAGTGCTTTTCCTGTTCTGCTGGGAATATTTGTCTCTGTGTTGGATTTTTCAGATGTCATCTCTGCTCATTAAATAGATGAAGTTTAATCAACCTGCAGTGTAAGTTTCTACTGAATAGGGAAAATGGGATCAGAGTATTTTTGTGTGGTTTGTGCAACACGTTTGTGTTGTGGCCTATTGTCTTAACTCTTAGCTATATTTTTCCTTCATAAGGAAACGCAACACGTTTGTGTTGTGGCCTATTGTCTTAGCTATATTTTTCCTTAATAAGGAAAGTGTTTCCTTCCCATGTCTCAAATGTGCTTCCTGTTCAAATGCATTGCTAGGCTGTTTTGGTTAGTAATTTAGTAGCTCTTTAAGGCCAGACAGGTGAAAGAGCAGAGGTGTTTAAGCACTGAACACACTGCGTAGTTCAGAAACAAAGTATGTTTTAAGAAGCTTCTGTACTGACCACCATTATTCAAAACACTGGTAGAATCCATGTGGCTTGAGATGGCAGCTCTCAGTCACCATTTGGGTTGTACATACTCACTTAAAGGCAAGATGAGTTCAAATGCTACTGACTCATTTGGTCAGGTTATTTATTGATTGGCATTTGGGAGGAAACCCCTAATTCAGTCTGAATGGGGGTGATTTGTACCGAGGGCATACAAATAGCATGAAATTGATCAGTGAAATTGCTGTAAAACAGATGTGTTTGAAATGAAAATCGATTGTTCTAGAGACCTGAAGAACCTGGCCAGTTTTGTGTGTAGTTGAAGAGCAAGTGTCCTTTGAGGAAAGGCCACAGCGTAGCAATAACGATGTGGAGAAATCTAGGGACAGAGGCAGGTGGTGCCCTGGAGGAGAAGGGGACAGACAGACAGCAAATAACATGTCTGCTAGGAGAGCAGTTGAAACTGGGACAGCCTTAACATTTGAAAGCACAGGACTGTAGGTGTCTGCTTCCACACTTCCCTGGTGCTATTGTAGGTTAGTTCCAAAGTCCTGTATTCAAAGCAGAAAAGGAAGTTGGCTAACATGTTCCAAAGTCAGTCACTTTGGAAGGAGGAAAAATAGGGCTTCTGAAGTACCTGACCTGAGAGACATTTTTGAAACAGTGCTTAGCATCCATGCTCGGAAAAGTAGGTACCTTTGAGATGGAACCAATGTGCCCCCCAGAGCTTTAGGACGCAGTTGGGAACATTTTGATCATCTGTATTTTGCAAATAGATGTTTTTGGGGGTGATTTGGGAGGGGGGTGTCTTTTGGGGGTTTTGTTGTTTTTGGAGAAACAAGTTGTAAAATGATACAAATACATCTTTATGATTTTACTTTTCCTTACTTAACTTGAGGATTATTGTGTGTGTTACTGACCTCAGCAGTGGTTAGAAAGAAGCTAAGATCTTTTTTTGTTTTTTCCCCCTTTAAATTTGACAGTGTGTGGTTAATACGGTATCGCAGATAGAAGAAATAGATACAGAAGTGGTTGTTAAGTAAGTATACAGCCAGATCTTTTTTTTTTGGTGGAGGGTGGGAATAGGAAATGGATGTTGTTCAGCATAGATAAATTTACCATTCTAATTTGTGGTTAAATATCCCTATAAGGATTATCCTTCTCTTTGACTTTAAGCCTCTGCTTCTGTCTGCCTCTGTGAGAATATTGTGTATTCCTCTTCTCATTCGGATTCTAATGTGACCTTGAACTTACCTTTAAAATAAATACTAGAATTCTGGGCACCTCATTGTATGAAATACAAACTACTGTGTTTAGGCATATACCTCTTAACTACTTGAAAGCATTCCCTATTGTCATAATATGGGATTTTGTAATAAAATGTGTCAGTTGTTTCAGTACATCCTGCATAAACGAGAATAGGATCCATCCAGAGAGGAGAGCAGGCAACTTCAGCCCTAGAACTGGTCCAGCAGGAACCTCACAAAGCCCAACAAAGGCAAATGCCAAGTTCTGGGACTTGGGAAGAGCAACCCCTTGCAAGAGGAGAGGGCAGAGCTGGCTGGCTTCAGAGCAGCTTTGGAGGGCAGGACCTGGTGGGGAACTGCCTGACAATGGACTAGCTGTGTGTCTTTGCAGCCACAGCATAGCCTGCAGGTCGAGGAACAAGAAAGACATTGAAATCCAGCAAAGGCCACTGGGTTGGTTGAGGCTGAAGCATGGAGTGTGGGAGGAGCAACCAAGGGAGCTGGGTTCCCCTCCAGCCTGGAGAAGGAAAAACTCAGGGTAGAACTGCCCACAGCTACCCCAGGGGAGGGTTATAGCAGAGCTGTAGACAGAGCCAGGCTCCTCTCAGAGGTGTGTAGGGGAAAGACAAGTGGCAGTAGGCACGTGAAATACGCGAAATGCTACTTGGATCTTAGGAAAAAAGTGTTCTTTATAAGGATGGTCAAACACTGGAGCAGGGGCCCGGAGAAGCTGTCAGATCTCTATCCTGGGACAGAGTTAAGCCTTGACTGGGCATGGCCCAGAGCAGCCCAGTCTGGTTGGACATGCATTGAGCGGGGTTTGGACAAGACACCTCCAGAGGTCCCAGCTCTAGAGGCCCCTGCAGCTACTGTTTTTTTTGGAGCTCTACAATTCATTTGGCTGAGCAAAGGACTACGCCAGGGTAATAGAAACAGCTGATAAAGCAAAGCGAGTGGCAGAATCTGCATGGGATTCATACCAGATTGGGAAAAAACTGGGCACAAGGTCATTTTTAAACATTGGATATTTGCTCACCATGCTCCAGTGTTTACTATTCTCCTACTGGGTCCTAACTGTGTATTACAGGGTTTAACTTTCGTTCTGTCAATGACTTTTCTGCCCTCTGCCACAAACAGCTGACTTGCACTTTAATAGCAGAAGTGGTCTCATTGCAGTGCAACAAAATGCCTTAATAACACAGCTCTTGTAACACTTGCAAAATATTTTCTTCCTTTTTTTTTTTTTTCTCCTTTTCCTCACATGATTTGTGAAAATGTTATTTACCCCCCTCCCGTGTTGGTAATACACACTTATCCCAGGGAAAAGAACATTATTCACTGGAAAAAACTAAATGGTAAATGTGAGGCTTTCACTTTTTTAGTGTGATCTATCTTTATATATGTCCTTTTCCGTTCTGCTTGCATACGTTGTGTTGATAGTGACTGTTGTTTAGGTGATGTGTGTTGTTTTGCCAGATAAAAGTCTACACAGTTTTCCTTATGTTTATGATACCTTTTTTATGTGCCAATAGGCATCATGGCCAGTGGGCATTTCTGGTTTACTGAATACTGCTCATTTTTTAGGCTTGCAGACCAGATGAGGATGATGAATTTTCCTCAGTGGTTTGATTTACTGAAGAATATTTTTTCTAAGTTTACCATCTTCCTCAAGAGAATAAAGGTAAGACATACATTTACCAAGAGCTTTGCGTAGTTCAGACATGAAATGGAATGAAGCTGCTTCCCATTTGAAGTCTTAAGATGTTGGTTTTGCTTATGGGGTTTCAAACTTTTGATTGAAAGAAGGATATGTGAATATCAGCATTCAGGGCAAAAAAATGATTAGTGCTAACAAAGAGAGCAGTGGGAAGAAGATAATACCTCTTGTTGCGTGATTACATCCATTTCAAGCTTCTAGGGATTAGGACAGAACTTTTGTATGTGTTAGATTGCTCCAAATGAGGTTTCTTTCACCATTCTCAGAAACATCTGATACTGGTTACAGTCAGACAGATGGGTCTGCCTCTGAATGCTAATTACAGAACAGAAAATAAAGCCAGGATTTAGTTTAGTTTTGTAGGTAAAAGAAAATCTCTTTCTAGCACAAGCTTGTGGCACAGAGTTTTGGGTTTGTTTTGTTTAGTTTTTTTTGTAATAAATGTTATATTTCATTCTAGGCAACGTTAAATACTATCCGTAGTGTGGTTTTCTTGGTTCTAGACAAGAACCAAAAAAACAGAGACCTGGAGGACACCTTACAAAAGAACTCTGCTAAGGACAGTACAGTAGACACAGAAGTGGCTTATTTGACTCATGAAGGCATGTTCATAAGCGATGCGTTCAGCGAAGGGGACCTCCCGCCCGTAGCAGCTGACACTACCTCTCAAAGAAACACTTCTCCAAACAGTGAGCCCTGTAGCAGCGATTCGGTCTCTGAACCAGAATGCACTACTGATTCCTCGTCCAGCAAAGAGCAAACGTCGTCTTCGGTTACTCCAGGGGGAGTAGAGATTATGTGAGTAAATGTGCTGCCTGTCTCCACTTTACAACAAGATATTAGGTTGTTTCTGGTGATACAGTAGAAATTTTGAGGGAATGTGCTTTTCTAAGTAAGTGAAGTGCACTGGCTCTCCACCATCACCCCTAGAGACTCCCATCAGATTGCACTGTCCCCTGCTCACCTTCATTTCATTTATTTGCCTTGTTTTCCCTTCTGCGTGTAGTGGTACGGGGACTGATTGTGTCACTTCTTACAGAAAGGGACCCCTCTCCATCTGCTCTGCTGGGGACCCCGCTTCTGCAGAGGGCAGGAGAGATGCAAGCCTAGCCTAGATGAAAGGTGTTGTTTATCATGTCTTTAACAGGCAGAAGCATCTTTGTTCACTGAGGCTGGGTTTTTCCTGGTTTTTTTTGTAGGCTGGAAATCAGATAAATTCCACAAAGCCAGCTAAATAAATAAATAAATTAATAGATAAATTCTAGAGAAGAATCTGCTGTTCATCATCAACTGTTTGACTTGCATGGTTAAATCCATTTTGCTTGTTACCCTGCTGAAAGATGGAAGGTAGCAAGTGGCCTGCTTCCTCCAGCTGATTGGTACTCAAGTGTCTATACTTGTGTGTTGTAGGCAACTGTCAGTTTTGATAGAGACCTTGCACCTCAAATCAAAATGCTGGTTGAAGGAGATAGATCTAAATTAAATATGTAGTGCATAATACAAATTCAGGCCTCTGTATGTCTAAACATCCGTCATACACTGGAAGAGAAATGCAATGTGGAGTCTAGGGTTAGAGTGAGGAGCTGGGAAGGAGAAGGGAGTTGGATCTGAACTGGCCTGGAGCACTTTGCCAAGTTTGCTAAAAATATACCCCCCAGTTAGAGCTCTTGAGCAATAAAGTTGTCTCTGAGGCTGGTTGCACAACTTTGTTCTGAAATGAACTTGCTTCATCCCTCTTCTGGTTTTCTTTCCACCTCTGCTCTGTGTTTGGAGTAGGCTAATAAAATCGTACAGTTAGAACAGTGTTAGCCCAGTTACTGCTCTGTAGCCCCTCAGGTTTTCTGTCTCCTCTCATACTGACTGTCCCTTGAGCAGCCACACTGGACCAAAAGATTACGTTAACTAATCACACGAATGGCAGAGCCATGCTAACAGCTGGCCTCAAAACAACAGGCAGATCACAAAAGGTGTTTTTAAAAAGCACTATCGGAAGAGCTAATAGAATGGCAATCTATAGATAACGTCATGGGGAGTGCAGAGTATATGTTTTAGGCCTTACACTTGGCATTGGAAGAAAAACATGACTTATCTGTCATATGGTTGCAATGCTCAAGTGTTACAGGAGCTGGGTAAATTCTAATGTTTGTTGTATTACTAATGGCTGCATTGTGTTTTCTCTTAGACCATTAATAGCAATTAGAGTGTAGATTTAAAACAAAATATAAGGATGTGCAGTTGTGCATTTCCTTACTAAAGGGTGCTGACAGCAGCTTAGAAGATCCCAACTGTACCAGCTGACTGGTGATTAACTGACTGTCTGCATTTGACAGTTGCTGCAGGGCTCTTTCTTCCTTCAGCCTGTGAGCAGAAATACTATTTTTCTGATAAACTGATGCTCAACCAATTGGTTCTGTCATTTGTAGGATCAGTGATGACATGAAGCTGACTGACCTGGAACTGGTCAGGCTGGCAAACAATATTCAAGAGTTACTTTATAATGCCTCTGATATCTGCCATGATCGTTCAGTCAAGTTCCTCATGGCAAGAGCGAAGGTAAGGAGCATGGGTCAGACTGCTGTTGGTGTCTCATCCTTAATGAGAATTTACTCCTAAATTACTGGTTTAATGAGTGAGAGTTCTGAAATAGCAGTCTCAATTGAAATTAAGTAACTTAACCATTCTATGAACTGTTCCTGCTGCCTCAGGCACTTGATCTTAATGCCCAGAGCACACAAGCATTAACATATCTTGCCACTATAAGACAATGTGGGTTTCTGCTACTACCCCCCCTCCTTTTTTAAGTATTCTGACTTGCAATCTTTGAAGCTTCATGCAGAGAATGCGTATCTGTGACAAGGCAGCTTCTTGCACTGCAGTCTGCCTTCTCTGTCCTATGTATGGTTAAAGAATTTGCCTTTTAAAATACTCGTAGCCCACAGAAATGCTGATGAGTCATTTCTTTACATTTCTGAATTTGTCTCCTTACAATGGTTTCCTTTGCATATAGGATGGCTTCCTAGAGAAGCTGAATTCCAATGAGTTTGTTACTCTTTCTCGCTTGATGGAAGGCTTTATCTTAGATACCGAGCAGATCTGCGGCAGGAAAAGTATGTCCTTGCGAGGAGCACTGCAGAGTCAAGCCAATAGATTTGTGAACAGATTCCATGAAGAGAGGAAGACGAAACTAAGGTATCTGGATAAAAGATCTTTGTGTTCTTACGTGAATAACTTTTTATCAGTTGTATGCCAGGCAAACACAATCTCTTGTTGCCTGAAACACTAGTAAGCCAGAACACTGGTACTTAGGAGCAGGGGGTGAAAAAAACTGTATTAAACCCCAAATATTTTCAGTTGGTTTAGACTTTTACTGTTTTTGTAATTTAATTTCTTCAGACTGGATTGTTACACACTTAGAATCATACTTACCTAAATGAGGACAGTAATTAGCTACAGGAAGTACTCAAGACTGACATCGAAGGGCAGGATTGCTTTGTCTCAGGGGTTAAGTAACATGCATCAAGTCTGTTTGCTCTCATCTGTCAAAAGCTTTTAAAATTTCATCATTTACATGTTACTTCAGCAGCAGTGATCTCATAAAAATCTTTATCGCCTAGTAAAGTCTTTCTTTCTCTGTAATAGATGGAGCGAACAGGCCAACGCTGTGTTTTTCTGTTTTGCTCCTGCCAGTTGTTGGGCACCTCTTTCTAATGAAGATGAATAGCATAACATTTTGGGCCAGTGGCTTTGTTTAACTTACGGTAGCTTTGATTTCATGGCATTACAGGCAGAAGTGTCAAGACAAGGCATTTTATTTTCTCAGCCTCCTCTCTCTTGTGTTTATAACTAGCCTACTTTTGGACAATGAGCGCTGGAAGCAAGCTGAAGTTCCTGCCGAGTTTCAGGATCTTGTTGATTCAGTGTCAGATGGCAGAATTTCTCTTCCTGAAAAAAAACCAGCAGGTGTGTATCTTCAGACCTACTGTTAACTGAATTATTAGCAGCAAATGTTCCTAACCTATTGAATGTTGATGGACATAATCCGATGTCACTCTTGATCTGTGTTTGCTCGCTGTCTTTGAAACTTCTTTTGCTGACCTTAAAAGAGTATTTATTTATTGAAAACCCATTGAAGTGTTAGCACAGGGAGGGAGCTACTTTTTTATACAAGTATTCCCATCGTAGAGACTTACAGTCTTGGCACAAATTTAGTCTTTCCCCAGAACATACCACTGAAGTGTTGCAAGGGACCATGGAGCATGTGTGTGTGCTCAGCCCCCTTGTGTTAAACAAAGCTTGCTCCTTCACATTACTTCATCTGCCAGTTGTTCATATGAAAGGCAGCACGCTATGTGGCTGCTCATGGAAGTGAAAACTCATGTACGTTCAATTATTTACCTTGCCATAGAAACCTCATTTGACCTCAGACAAGTCACATTTTTTTCCTCGTGCCCCACTTCCCTGTGTGCAAAGTGGGAACGAATAATGCATTCTTACTTTGTGAGGGTACTTATCCAATATTGCAGTGATTAATGTGTGTAAACAGCTAGAAGAAGAAGAAAACATACATAGAGGGAAGGAAAGTTGCAGTAGATGAGGGAGAAAGAAGAAGATATAGTAATGTCATGGTGGAGAAACCCTGACCCTCCAAAAGGAATATAGCAGATACAGAAAATGTATTGGGCAATAATCAGTCCAATTATTGAACACGACACCAAAATGTGCTCATCGACCATTGCTCTTAAAGTAAGCTCTTGCAGCTTCCTTCAAGAAGATAGGAAACTCGTGGCATCAAATATAGCATGAAAAACTGCATCAGTAAGAGCTTCTACAGTGAAGCCTGAGGAAGAAGCAGTTGAAGCTAAAATATTAATATACACAGCAAATCATTTGAGAACGAAAACCCACTGACTTCTTCTGCTTTTCTTCTTCTATTTTTAACCTTGTATTTGAAGTTTCTAATTACATGACAACTTTGGGGCTTGGGGGTTTTTTTGATCTAAAATACTATCAGGTAATACAGTAACTTTACAGGTCGTACTAATTATGATGGGTGACCAACTCTGTAATAAATACTGTAAAAGAGAGCAGGACTGATTGTGGGATTTTCAAGACTTAGCAAGGGAAAACTAAATGTTTAGAAACTAGCATTTTTTGTACTTGTTTTTAGTTCAACTCATCCCTTTCCTTTCTTGCTAAAATACCTAGCTACTGAAGAAAGAAAGCCAGCTGAATTCCTCATTGTTGAAGGACAAAAATATGCAACAGTTGGGTAAGATGCACTCTTTTTCTGAGCAGCGGGTTAGTTGGCAAGAACTTTAGACTAGAACTGTGATGAATACTTACAGCTTTAACTATCTTTTAAAGATAAAAACCCCTTCTCCTTCCACAGACTAGTTTCTGTTTCGTTCCCAAACACTTACAAAACGTTGCAAGCTTTTCTGTGCATTAAAATACTGTTTCTTCTCTGGATGACTAGCCTGAAATTTATGGTTTCGTTAGATTTTACTCTTTTTCCCCCCGGTTATTTCATGAAAACACATAATCATGGAAATACAGGTTTGTCTTCATAGCACACTGATGTTATTTCTTGCAATATAGGTTATCTCTGTCAAAATCATAGAATCATGTAATAGTTTGGTTTGGAAGGAACCTTTAAAAGTCATCTAGTCCCCATTCTCCTACTAAAATATCTGTTCCCATCCTTCTTATAAGACCCATTTAAGTACTAAAAAGCTGCAGTAAGGTTTTTCTGAAGCCCTCTCTTCTCCATGCTGAACAACAGCAAAATACACGAGTCCACTAGTGAATGATTGCTTATCTTATTCAGGAGAAGAAATAAGACACGGGCTGTCTCAGAAACTGCATATGCTATTGCTTTGGATTGGAAAGTGGTTTCTTAAAGCTAGTTGTATCAAAGACATTTTAAAATATGATACGCACATACATCTTTCATTTTAAAGCATGCTGTGTTTTCAACAACTGTGGGGCTTGAGCATTAAATATGCATGAGAGTGTTTTACGGGAGGGAGTAAAACCTGAAAAATCTCACTCCCCAGAGTCTTAACATCCATTTACCCCAAACTTAAAAGTTCTGATTTACATAATGTCTTTGACCAGCTGTCATTTTATGAATTGCTGCATGATGATGTGTCATTGTTCAATTAGAAACAGAAGCTGATGGCTCAGAACTTCTGTGCCAGCCAACTGATATCACTGCAAAAGAGCATTTCAGGTTGAGTAGAAGCATTTGGACATGCATTATAGGATAAAATTTACTTAATGGATGATGTGTTTGATAATCCATCTCTGCTTATTTGAAACTTGATATATTTGGCTTCATGAAGCAATTGTTGGTTTCATGCTGGTGCAAGTATTTGTTTCAGTTCTGCACATTTTTGCATTTAATCAAATAAAATGCATTCATGAAAAGAAGCCCAAATAATTCTACAGGTATTTATTTTCCAGTTCATTGTTCATCATCTTTCTGCACTCTGCTGCCTGAAGGAAGAGAGAGGTTTAACTTTTTGAAATGTTAGAATATCTACTCTGAACATTTGATCTTGCCTTAGTTTTCATGCCTCCTGTGTATTTGAATTCAAAGGAGCATACCTCCTCTTTGTGGAGCCTTCTGAATTCCATCCAGTAGCTCCCAAATTCTCCAGTGTCTGCTGAATTCAAGGAAAATTACAGGTGTTGAGCATCTTTGAATATTTGGTGCCTTTTCTTCAAAGCTACCTTCTCTGTGACTCCATAGCATTCATTACATCCCTTTCAGTGGTGGTGGTTGTCTACATTCTCTGGGTTTTTATACTTGCTTAAAGTTGTTCAGAATTATACAGCTGAATAAGAAAGGAGCTTTACATTATTTGTCCCCTGCCAACATCTACATGAAGATTCATAGTTCCACTAGAACCACGAGTAGCTTTCTTGGAGATAAAAAAGTTCTATCAGTGAACCCCAGAGATTCTCTCTCACATACGTTAAGTGCTTTTCCACACACCACCCACTGGAGTTGGGTATTCTTTATAACCATCTTTATGTGTATCTTCTTTTACATTTTACTTCTATGTCAGATCAGTTACTGGGTTTATTTAATGCTATATAACATGTAGCATTAGGTAGCTTTCTGTCAGCATGACTGGCCCATGTTTGATTTTTTTTTTTTTCAACATCTTCTGTGCACTGAGATGACATTTGGCTGTTTCCTCTCTTGTAGGACAGTATTGCTGTTAATAAGAATAATCCTTGAATACTGCCAGTGTGTGGATAACATTCCATCCATCACCACTGACATGCTTACCCGCCTGTCTGATTTACTGAAGGTATGGCTCCAAATGTACCATCTATACTAACCAGGGGTATTCAGGGCAGAGAACGTGTCTTACTTTGTGATGCTTCATGTGTTTTAATGATTTCGTATAAGTGATACAAATTGTTTATAAATGATTGTGTTTGTTACTGTGCCATAAGGTAGCCTTTTAAACTAAGGGCATTAAAGATGTAGTTTGTTGTGTGGATTGACTTCAGGAAGGCTGTCTTTCCTCTCGTTTAGTTGGAAATCCCATCTAGTTGTAGTTGTCTTAGCTGCTTGTCCTTCAGGCTGGGTGTAGGATTAATGCTGCTGAAGAAAAGCAGTTTGATCCCAGATGCTGCAGAGATATATCTATATTCAGGGTGGAAACAAGTCTCTTGGTTTTTACAAGTCAGTAGAGGTACAGTCAGTAGAAGCATGAAAAATAATATGGGATGAAGATTCTGTTGTAAAATGTAAAGATGATGAAAGACCAGGACCTGCTCGTCGTTTATTTCTCACTAGAGAAGAGGAAAGCTGGTAAAGCACAGATAGAGCAAGGGAACATAAATAAACAATAATAAAAGGAGCACAAGAGTGGACCTTAAAGTCATATATTTATGTAGGCTCTGAAACCTAGCAGTTAATTTATTTCAAGGTTTTCACTTGTGTCTTTGCCCACAAAGGTTGTGTCAGGTATTGAGAGTTCTAAACATAAGCATAATCAATAATAGATGAACAGATTCTCTTCTCCAGAAGTATATTTTACGTAAGGCAGGGGCAGGGAAGGGTGAACAGAGCCTGGGAGATGGATCTTTAAATAATCCTCCTGTTGGTAGTTCTTACCTGAATAACCAGATGCAGAAACACTCCTCTCTGCAGTCATCATTCAGGTTCATCCATGAACCTTCCCCTTTGAAAGCAGTATCCAAGGCAAATCAGTCAGCCTGGAGCTGGGAACACCCCTCTTCACCTCTTGTTCTCCAGCTCCTGCTTCACTCAAGTCTTTCAACACCTTTTTGCAGGCAGATAGAATAGCAGCAGATGCCTCAGACACAGGCAGATTTGCATCTACTTCTCTCTCCCTACTATATCTTGTTCCAGCTCTATTGTATTGTATTTTATTCCTTGGTAGTCACACGCCATGTGCAGTTGAAATAATGTATTTCCTATCTGGCAGCAAGGTCGCATCAATTGGAAAGATGACAAGAATAGTTAGCAAAAACAAAAGCTCATTTCTTTTACCACTTTGAACAAAGTAAGAGCCATTCATTTGTTCTTGCAGGTCACTACACATCTGCTACGACAACTGTCAGAGCTGGCAAGCTTTGAAGGTAGCAAGATGTGGTGGAAACTGCAAAGAGTTCCCAGTTAATGAAATTCCAGGCCGTTTTGACCTGTGGCTGCAACCAGAGTGAAATGACACCTATTTTATCATGGATAAAAACTGGAGTTGTTGAGGTGGTGCAGACAAGAGAAGGCTTGCAGCCATGGTGCTGGAACGCAGGGATGCTTTCCTCCAAGCAGTCACAAGGAGGGGATATTGCTCTTTCAACGGTTCAGGCATGCTGCTTCCTCACTGCTTTGTCTGCAACAGGCTGTCCGATAACTGAGTAATATCCACAACAGGCAGGGGGAGAGTGCGAGTGTCTGTCATACTTTATAAAGCATGTTTTTAATGGTCTGCCACACAGTCAAAGGGTTGGCACTAACCTGAGCTAAATACCTCAGAGGAGCTTAGGCTGCGTAGGATACTGGTCTTTGGCTCAGTGGATCTACTACTGAAGTCCACCAGGAGGCATAAGAAAAGGTTTTGCTTTGCAAGAGGAGGAGATGAAGTGACTGTCAGTTTCAGACCCTGACTTCTGTCTGAGGACAGAGTAGATTATGCCTCTCAAGTCAGGGGCCACATGTATCTCGGGTTCAGTTGTGGCACTAAGCCTGCATTGCTTTTCTGGCTCTGGGTCCATCACTCTGGCAGCCCAGAGCACGTGTGTGGGGTTCACAGTGTATCCTCTGTGCTCCTGAGTTTTGGGACTGACTCCAAGCAGTAGCCAGAAAAATTGTTTACTGTTTTTACTTGAGCTGGGTTGAAATTTTGGGTCTGTTCTTGCATTATAGAATCA